AAAAGCTCTCTGAAAATGTCACATCTCAGCTCGAATTGAAAACTCAAATCTACGAAGTGAACGAAGCAAATATATTCTAGCCGGAGAAGTACACTATATATAGATAACATAACATTAAACATATTATTAAAGCCACACACAGCTTCTGATTAGCTTAACTAGATGATAGTAGCTAGACTAAAATACAGACAAGTAGTACTACAATCTTCAGCCAAAAAAAGAAAAAACAAACAAACAAACAAAACAAAGACGACAAGCATGCAGTACTATGTAGGAGGGCCACAAAACCTTAACTTTAACGATACAAGACAGTAATTAACATGTCTAACTTTAAGAACACGCATGTTACTACATCTCTCATTTTGGGAGCCACACAAGGTTGTCCTTTGGAAGGAAATGACAAATAGGCACTGTTCCGGGCTTCACTTTGAGAACCTGAAACGCAAAATGTTGAGCGCTCCAAAACCTAGTATCAGTGTGGCAAACGGCCACCGCTTTCGCCTTCGTCCCGTCGGCCGCAACGAGCGAAACCGCGTAAGCCCTCGTCGCATGAACTTCATGGCAGTAGAACACGGCATACACGTAGTTCTGCTTGTGGCAAACCACGGATTTTTCACCAATCTTTTGCACACCCTTTTCACCAATAACAAAATCCATCTTCGCCTCCTTTTCGACTTCCGTTGCGAACACCTCGACGTTTCTTCCAAGCTTCGAAACGCTGAAATCAATCAGCGACCGAAGCGACGTGGCGCAGTACTTGGCCTCCCCTTTCACGCTCGGTTCCTCGCAGTCTTCGATCGTTTCTTTCATAATTTTCGCTTCTACCGATTCGGATTTCACCGAGAAGTGGTTTAGGATTTCGAGGAACTTTTTGGTCGAAAAGGGTATTGTGTTGGCAACGTCGCTAGGCAAGAACTTGGCCTGGTTTGTGGTCTTGGGAAAGTAGAGCTTCATTTTCTTTCCCGAGTGAAGATCTCTCTCTAAGAAGAAAGTGGTGAAATCGGGTGCAACTATTTTTTCTCCACCAACGGAATAACTGTCTTTTCCTATAGTGGGTAAGGCAGATCCTAGAATATTGTTGTTGAGGTTCAGAGCATTCTTGCCTATACCAAATCTAGTGTCTTTGCTTTCTACTGGTTTCCCTGCATAAAGAAACAAGATTGTATTCATTAAGCCAAAAAAAAAAAAAA